CACATTACAAACATTTTGTGACGAGTAGACAGGAAGAATGTCCGATGATTGGCGCAGGAATGCGGCATTGGGATCATCAGCGTCCACATTTACGTTCGACCGTACTTTCTTCCTTCCACAGAGAAGTCTTATACCTTTCCACAGATGTTTGCTGTTTCCAGTCCTCAGAATTTGATCAGAGAATAATGCGTTCAATCTATTTACTTCAGCTTTGATAAGCCTGGACAAATACCTAACAGCTGAAGCATTGTGAGATTTGTACGCACGTTCCTTTGGTCGTCGCAGTGACTTCAGTAGGGTAGAGTTTATTCTTCCGTTGGACACATAGAGACTTTGAACAGAGCAGCAGTAATTAAAAATGGCATTGATTGTTTGGGTGTATAGGGGGACACATGTGAGCAGCTCGGGTAGTATAACTCGGTGCTCAGTTGTTCGCCGAGCATGACAATACAATTGCCAAGCTCGACGAACAGCATTGGTCGTCGTGCAGGATAATCAGGACCGCGCTACCCATTGCATCGAGCGGGGTGAATAGTGATAAGTGGGCTACTGCTCATATATTTCAACCTTAGTTTAATTCTTTGTCTCCAGTACCCATCCTTCTCCATTCTCCCTGCTTCCGACCTGTAATAGTCCCTTAAGCAACTTGGATATCGCACGCCAAACAGTACTGTAAGTAATGTACCACGAAATGGAAGGCAGATTCTAAAACCTCGTCAATCACTTAATCTGGGGACCTTCAACGTGAAGACCCTGATACAGGTAGGTTAACAAACTTGTCTGGCTCGTAAAACAAAATCCTTAGGGATCGATATTTGCTGCGTGGTGGAGACTTGAATCCAGGGTTTTACTAATATAGGCCACTTGAGCACGCCAGATTTGTCGTCGAGATACGTTCTTCGAACATTAGGCGACGATTACGCTCGTTCAGTAGGCCAGCGCGGGGTAGATATTGTACTCAACAACAGGGCGGAGTCCTCTCTAACCGACTGAATCCCCATCAGCAGTCGTTTATGTGCAGCGGATCTCCAGGGCTCGATCAGCGTCCGGAAGGGAAGCAACACCAAAAGGTGTTTGTTCATCGCATCGGCACATGCACCGACCAATTGCAGTTCAGATACCCAAAACGATGCTTTCTACGATGAGCACACTGATCTCATTCGGAGAAGTCAAAGCTCCGACATACTTCGACCCCCATAGATTACGCTGGTTGGGACATGTGCTACGCATGTCACCAGATAGGTTGCCACGGCGAACGATGTTTGCCAAGGCGGTTGGAGAAAAACGAAGGGCGGTCAAGCCAAGACCTGGCATGAGGGTATGAAAACCCTAACCAGGAGACTAGGT